AGTAATTCTTATATTTATATTTAGCCTTTTTTTTTTGGTTGGGCAATGGGGTTAAGTGATTTGCCCAAAGTCACACAGCTAGTAAGTGTTATGTGTCTGAAGCCGGATTTGAACTCAGGTCCTCCTGAATCCAGGGCTGGTGCTCTATCCACTGCACCACCTACCTGCCCCTATATTTAACCTTTTGACAAAGGCTTTCTTATACTTGGAATTAGGGTTATACTTATGTTTCTCTCAAGTTTCAATTTTTTGATGTAGAGGAAGTTGAGCTCTCTGACTGAAGGCTTTTCTAGTTTTCCCTTTCAGAGGATTCTCCTTAGTATGACTTATCTGAGGAATAATAAGACATGAATTATGGTGAAGATTTTTGCACAGTTACTTGATGACTTTTCCCACACAAACCCCTGTTTCACATCTATTTTCTTGAGAAAAGGAACCTGAAGGAGTGTTTATTGGAATTTCCCCACCATCCATTGTGGGTCCAGAGCTCTAAGGCAGGCTAGCAGCTCAGAAACCCAGAGCTGTTCATGGACTCACCCCTTGGCCTATACTAACAGTGTGGGGTCTCCTAGAGGGGCCAAGAAAATGGACTCAATCCCTAGAGTTCCCAACTAATCTAATGCAGATCACTGGAGTAAAGAGTAAACAAATAAAAAGATAAAGAGCTTATTATGATAACAGGTGCCCAAGATACAAACCTAAAAAAGGAGAATAACTTCAAAATTCCTCCAAAACTCCTGCAAGTCGAGCCTCAAAGAAAAACATAGTTTGCCTACCAGGTTAATTGGAATTCCTAGATGAAATGATGTGAGTTTTTAAATGACATTATAAATGAAACAAGTTCAGTAGAAGAAAAAACCAGAAAAGAAATGAAAGAGACTTGGAGGAAAGACTTGGAAGAATTAACTACTTGGCACAAGAGGGAAAAAAAACCCCTTACTCAAGTAACAGACTCCCCGAAAATTATAATGGTCCACATGGAAGTTAACGACTCCATGAGACAGCAAGAAATATTAAAACAAAGTCACAAGATTAAAGAACTAGAAGGGAAAGCAAGGTATCTTGTATAAAAAAAGTACTGCAAGTCACCAGAAAGAGAGTTCAAGTATTGAGGAACCACAGCAGGATCACATAGGATTTAGAAGCTACCATCATGAAGGAGTGGAAAGTATGCAATGCAATATTCCAAAAATCAAAGGATTAGACATGCAACCAAGAATAATTTGTCCAGAAAAATGGAATATAATCCTCCAAAGGGGAGGGGAATGGACCATTAATAAAACAGGTTTCCAAGCATTCTTGCTGAAAAGACCAGAGCTGAATAGAAACTTTGAAATACAAACCCAAGGGTAAAGAGAAACACAAAAAGGTGAATAAATATCTGGAGATGAGACATACCAGATTATGACCTTGTAAATTTTGAAAGATTGGAAGAACCATCAGAGAGGTTCAGCAACTAGGGTCTACAGCAAAGTTTCCCAGAAGCAACAACTGCTAAATTCAGTGAGGAACTAGTTCTGAGAAGTGGCCTGGTTGACCGGGCATAGCAGTGAACTGTCCTGGCAGCTGAGACGCTGTGTCCTGCAAGCAAGGGAGAAAATTATCTACTGTTTATGCCACATGAAGGAGTGAAATTTGTGAGAACCCCATAAAGGGAGAAAACGCTTCCAGGGGCTAGGAGGTACCCCTCTTAATACGTGTGATGTACCTCTGTGTTTCAATATCTTTGTATTTTCGTTTTGAGCCCACTTTACCCAAAGATCTTGTGGTTATACAGGAAGAAGAGTATGTCTTGTGTGTGTGTGTGTGTGTGTGTGTGTGTGTGTATGTGTGTGTGAGAGAGAGACAGAGACAGAGAGATAGAGACAGAGGCAGAAATAGTGACAGAGAGAGAGACTTTACAGAGAGACAGAGAGACTTTGAGTTCACTCTCCCCAGGGAGTAAGTGAGTATATGTGGAAGGGAAAGTGTTCCTCCCAGTTGAGGGCAGGGAGGATTTAAAATTCTGGATCTTGGCTATATCTTCTGAGTAAATATCCCTTTGTAAAAGCTACCCAAAAAAGAGCTGGATCCTTAGTGCAAAGAGAACTGGGGAGACTTTATGGAACCTGATGACATAGCAAAGCAGCCTTTCACATTATATTTTGTGACGTTGTTGTTCAGTCATGTCTGACTCTTCATGACCCCATTTGGGATTTTCTTGGCAAAGACACTAGAGTGGTTTGCCATTTCCTTCTCCAGCTCATTTTACAGATAAGGACACTGAGGCAAACAAGATTAAATGACTTGCCCAGGGTCACACAGCTAGTTTCTGAGTCCAGATTTGAACTCAAGATGAGTCTTCCTGACTAAGGCCTGGCACTCTATCCACTGAGCCACCCAGCTGGTCTTTCTGGAGTCAGGAGTTTCTGGATATCTTCTTGAGCATGTTTCTTAACCTCCCTGGGCTTCAGTCTTCTCAATTGTAGACCAAGGATGTTGGACTAGATAGGGACCGATATCTATAATTATATATATCTATAGATATATATATAATTCTATATATAGAGAGACCAATATCTATAATTCTATAATTCTATATCCCTTTGACTCAGAGATTCCACTGGGGAAGTATGCCCCAAGGAGGCTTTTGACACAAAGAGAAGACCCATATGTACAAAAAAGGGCTGTGGCAGTATTACTTGGGATAGTTAACAGGCACCCAGGAAGTAGGAAGTAGCTGAATAAACATGCTATATGGCATACTACTGGATCACAAAGAATGGTGACTGTGAAGAAGTCAGAGAAGCATGGGGAGACTCACATGGCATGATGAAGAGTAAAGAAAGCAGAACCAGGAGAACTATGTACACAATGACCACAAACAATGAAGATGAAACGGTCAATTACAATATTAAATGTTAGTACATACTTGCTCTCAATGTTAAAAAGAAAAAAAATCAAGAGGTAAGCTGATAAATGTTTAACAACCATCTTTCTATAAAAATATATATGCTGGACATATTTAATTGTTTAAGTTTAATCTGCATTATTTATATTTTCTCAAACACTAAAGTCTGGAGAGTAAAACAACAATAACAATAAATCAAGCCCTGATCTGTAGCATTTGTTGATTTCCTAGGTGTAAATGCTTACACTAAAATTTAACAATCAGCTCTCATGATCCAGTTTGATCTGGCTCCAGTACACTCTTTTTTTCTGTCAGTAATCAACAATCTAATTGTTTTCTCAAGGAATACACTTTTTTAGGTGGTTTGTGTGGGAGTCTGTTGTGTCAACTTTATTAAAAAAAGCTTTTTTAAAAGAATGCATTGATTGGAAATTGAGGGGATGCCCATCAATTGGGGAATGGCTGAACTAGTTGTGGTATATGAACGTAATGGAATACTACTGTGCTATAAGAAATGATTAGCAGGTGGATTTCAGAAAAACATGGAAAGACTTGTATGGACTGTTGCTGAGTGAAGTGAGCAGAACCAGGAGAACATTGTACACAATAACAGCAACATTGTGCGATGATCAACTATGAACAACTTAGCTTTTCTCAGCAACACAATGATCCAAGAAAACCCCAAAGGTCTCATTATGGAAAATACTATTCACATCCAGATAAAGAATTGATGGAGTCTAAATGTAAATCAAAGATATTATTTTCACTTAATTTTTTTTGTGGTTCTTTTCTTTTGGCCTGTTTATTCTTTCACAACATGACAAATATGGAAATATGTTTTACATGATTACACATACATAACCTATGTCAAATTGCTTACTATCTTAGAGAAAGGATGGTAAGGGAAGGAGGGAGAAAATTTGGAACTCAAAATTTTCTTTAAATGAATGTTAAAAATGTCTTCACATGTAATCAGAAAAAAATAAAATGCTATTAAAAAAAGAATACACTGATTGCTTGTTCTACAGGAAAATGATTTTATATGGCAATTACGTTGCAGACTTATAAGATGTTAGAACTAGAAGGGACTTTAGAGACCATTTAGTTCAACCTCCTTGTTTCACAGATGAGGAAACTGAGGCCCAGAAAGGCAAACTGACTGGGAAGACAGGAAGGGATAGTGATAAAAGTATTAGGTGGAGGTTTGAATCCTGACTCTAGCAGTTGTTGGCTATGTGAACATAATCACTTCTCTGAGTCTCAGTTCCCTTATCTGTAAAATGGGGTAATAGTAACGATAACCACCTACCTCACAGGATTGTTGTGAGAAAAGTGCTCTATGGTTTGTGAAGCCTTGTGGAAATGGGAGTTAGTATTAGTGCCCAAGGGCACAGAGTGAGTTAGTGTAGAACCTGTCAGGACGAGGTCTCAGGTGTCCAGCTCCCCCATTGGTGCCTCTCATATCACCGGGAGCCCTGACTAAAGAGTGATGTTAAATAAATCAATGAGGGAATGAAAGAGAATAAAATAATTGAATGTACTTTCTGGTACAGATCAGTTTGGGTGAGTATGGGCCAAGTTTCCAAAGGCCTGCCCTCCCCCTAGATAAGCCCATCAGGTAGAAACAAATAAAGTAGCCAGAAATCTGAAGTTTTTTCCTAACCAACAACCTCCTTTCTTTGCACTAAGGAGTAAGCAATTGACACAGGGCAGGTCACAAGATAAGAGGAGAAGTCCCTGAATCAAACCATTCATTCCCTTCCTCAGAAACCTTTAGGACTCTCCAAGCCCTATAGGATAACATGTAAACTTCTAAGGTTGGTTGGTATTCAAGGCCCTAAAGACTGACTGGAAAGAGTTGGCAGGGGCGGGCAGGGAGGGGAATGACTGAGTCTTAAGGAATTGTCTTATTTTCTTCTTAGGGAGATGAGGAATGAAGAAAGGAGGAAGACAGAGAGGGAATTTTGGTTGGTCCACTCGCCTATGTACTCAGGGCTGCCCCAGCTGGGGTGGGAGGCAGTAGGTAGAATTCCTCTATTAGCCAACACCCTTCCCCATTTTCCTACTGAAATCCACTCTGCCCTTCCTCCATCCCACATCCAGGACTAACCTGTTTGTACTTGTACAGGAGCAGGAGGAGTAGAAGGGAAAGTAGAGCCATGGTGGCAACGCAGGCTGTGACGACAGGGATAAAGAGACCGTCTTCACCAGGTCGGACGACAAGTTCTGGAGATGACAGGAAGAAAAAAAATGAAAACATTTACACTCAGGTCGTCCCCAGCACAACAGGTAGCCTTTATCCAAGGATGATGTGGGTGAAAGGGAGCCAGGGAGAAGGTTTTAATGAAGATCTAGTGGTGAAACCTAGTGTCAAAAACCTTTATGCCAAAGATCTTCCAACCATATCCTCCTGCTCAAAAACCTTCAAAGGATCCCTACTATGGAGATAACGTCCAAACTTCTTTGCCTAGCATTAGAAGCTCTTCATAATCTGTACCCAACCTTCCTTCCAACCTGAGCTCCCAGAGTAACACAGGCAGAGGTTGTGCTCTATGGATATTATTTTTGGACACCGAGGGAAGGAGAGATTGAAAGGGGAAGACTTGAGCTAGGGAGGTCAGTTAGGAAGCTATTGCAGTAGGCCAGGGGAAGGATGATGAAGGTCTGAACTAAGGTGGTGGTCACATGACTAAAGAGAAGCAAAAAGGATCTGGGAAATGCTATGAGGAAGAATCATTGATATTTGCTAATTGATTGGTCATTTGGGGCAAGGGAAAGTGAGAATCCTGGGATTACTCTGAACTTGCCTTCACTGTCACTGTGACTAGCTGATGTGAGAGGCAGCCCACGATTGTTGCCTGCCTGAGTTCTATTTCATTCAAACCAGATAAGCCACCCAACTTTAATCAATCAATATGTACCAGGTGCTATGCTAGACAGTGATAGATGTAACTATGATGCAAAAATGGATATGGCAGAGACCCTGCTCTTAGTCTGTTAGGGAAAAAGATATTAACACAAATTACTATGATCTAAGGGAGACTGTGGCAGGCACAAAATATTAGTCCAGGCAGAATGCTATGAGAAATGTAAAGACAGAAGGATCTGGCAAATTAAAAAAAAGTCCTGATAATTAAATAGTCTTTCAAAGCTTACAGAGTGCTTTACATACTAACACAATGAAATGGCACTGGGTTTAGCACCAGAGGAGCATGAAAAGGTTGAGCTTAATGGGCTCTGAATTCCCTCCCACTTTTAAAATTTATGGTCCATTGAACATTGTGAATTATGTACTACACACAGGTCATATCACCATTTTAAGAATGAGAACACTGAGGCTCAGACAGGTGTCATTTCTTACTGTCTTTGCTAGTCAATGTTAGAGACAGAATTCAAAGCCCTTCTGGTTGATGCCAAACTCAGAGGTTGATCCAATATGCCAAGCTGCCTTTCCCATTTTCATCACCCCTCTTCTTTCTCAGTGCAAATTCTAATGCCTCTTCCTCAACACTCCATTCTATCCCATCCCACGCCCCTACACAGGAGAAAGTCAGACTTCATTCACATCATTCACTATCATAGGAATCTCCACATGGGGACTGAGCCCAAGGGTTGTTTCTGTGACTCCCTGGAAATTTTTTCCCCGGGCATATGTTTAGTTCCTCCCTAGAGCTAATGAAGAATTTTTAATACCTCTTTCTGACTTGAGTAGGTTGATAGGAGGAAGGAACGGCTGCATGGACAGAGCAGGGCAGCATCAGTATAGAAGAGAGTTCTGGAGCACTTAAGAGTACAGGGCAATAATGTAGAGTTGCAAAACAATAGGGGATCCAAAGAGATTTCAGGACAAGGCTTGAATACGCCATTCCTCTTCCCTTCCCAGAGCCTCAAGGCTAAAAGAAGGATACCAGGCTGAGGCACTGATCCATAGAACCAGAGTTAGACAAACAGTGCCTGGAAGAGGCCAGGGCAGTCTAGGCTGAGCCCAAGAGCTTGGAACCCTGACGGAGCCAAGCCAAATTCTTGGGGATCACATAGCTGTTCAGAGAACAAGAAATAGTGCTTAGAGCCCTGAGAAGCAAAGAAGAAAATTCAAAAGTGGCCAATTTTCTCATTCCCCAAATCCATCACTAGGAGTACAGGCTACCATCTCCCTTGTAGCCAGACCTCTTCCTTCACTGTCCCTACAGCTGGATAGGCTTTGCCTCAGTCAAACTGAGACCTGTTAAAGACTTTAGTTTGAAAAGACCAATGTCTCCTATTGCATCCAGGGCCATTTCCAGTCATCCTGATCTATATCTTGCCACTGGACCCAGATGACTCCATAGGAGAAAGTGAGGCTAGTGACATTGCACAGCCCTCCCTCACTTAAATCCAATTCACTTGCATGTCATGGGATCACCTTCCTGATGTCATGGTCCTCTTCGAGAGAATGAAGGACAAACAACAGCAGCAGCTTACCATGGGCATTCTGCAATATGGGATGCCTCCCCAAGGGCTTGGTCTCAGTCAGAATTGACCTGCTCCCCTTTGATCCTTAGCTTGTGTCACTCGTATCATGGCACTTCCACATGCCACTCATCACTGCTAGACTATGAGCTCTTGAGGGTTCAGACTAGAACTCATTCATTTTTGTATCCACCATGATGCCAACTTTAGGGCCCTACACAAAGAATCAATATTGAATGAATTCATGTTCTTTACCCTTGAAATTCCTTTGCATGATTTTGTATTTATGTATCTATGAACAAGTTGCATCTTCAGTAGAATGTAAGTACCTAGAGGGCAGGAACTTTTTTCACTTTTATCTTTTTTATCTGTAGCATCTAGCACTGTGTCTTGATCCCAGAAGGGATTTAACAAATGTTTGCTGGATTATTAAATTAATTGTTCTTTGTTGCATGTGTAGGTCTTGTCTTTTCAGCTATCCTGAGCCTATAAGAACAGGGACCTTGTGCTTTCGCCTCTGAAAATATTGCCTTACTCCTAGAAGGTACCGGCTACTCTATTAGTTGTCAGATAAGTTGTCTATAAGAGTCAGATGACTCTTAGACCTTAAATGGAAGGATAGTGGGAAAAGCCACATCTGGGAAAGGTCAAGGGGTCCTTGGGGAGGATCATAGGGATGTTCACCATCCCCTCGAAGGAAAAGGAGCAGTATTCTCACCTCTCCGGATGGGCCAGAAGATAAATGAGTTGTCCCCAACCTTGTTGCTGGCCATACACATGTAGGTGGTGTTTTCCATCAGAGTTTGGATATGGAAGATGCTCTCAACCGTCACTTTGTGAAAGGGTTCCTGACTCAGGACTGAAGTATTGGCATCATGCCATAGCAATACTCTGTCCTGGTTGCAGCTGGGAAGGTGGAAGAAAGGGGATGTGAGTCAAAGGGAGGACACCTCAGTGAGAGGAATGAGGGCTTCTCTGAGCCTCTGGGATGAGAAGCAGTGTGTTCAAGGAACTCTAAGAGCTACACCAATGGAATACCACCATCTTAGGACCATCTAAACCTGGCCAGGAAAACAGGAGTTTAGGGAAATGAAAGCACTTTTGGTCTTGGACTTCCAGTGCCATGATCAGAGTCAGTAAGGGAATGACATACCTATCTTTATTGCCTGAGCAGCGGTACCATGTAATCTCAGGGGCTGGATACCCAAGAGCAATGCAGCGAAGGACATTAGAGACATTGAGGTATGCCTGCTGGACTTGTACTTCTGGAGGGTCTGAGTAGGGAAAATGTAGTAAGACAGAATAAAATACAGTGAGGGACTTTGTATGCCTAAGACTCTCCTGCCTTGTACCATTACCAGGAAATACATCTGCTCTGACTATGTGAGAAGGGAGACTGCCCAGACATGGGTTAAATCCTCACATTTATCCTGTCCATTCCTTACTCAGCCCTCCAGTCCCTCACTAAACTCTCTCTCCTTCACTCATCCCCTTCACTGAATTCCATTTCCCTCACTGAGCTCCCATCCTCTTAATGCTCCTCCATTTTCTTAATAATCTTAATAATATTAATCTTAATAATCTTCATCCTCTTCCCTTAGCCCCTATACCCTGAACCAAATTCTTAGACTCTTCACTAAGTGATAATCCCCTCACTGAATTCCCCCATCCTCTCACTGAGCCTCCATCCTCTTCTTTGAACCCCCATTTCTCAAAAATATCTTATCCCTTCACTGAGCCCCATCTCTTCACTGAGACCCTATCACCCACTCTCTACCCCATTCCTTCACAGAGTCCTCAAATCTTTGCAGTGATGCTCTGGACTACTCCTTTCAGCACCTCTGCCCTTCATCAGTTACTTGAGCTAAGTGGGTATTACGTAATGCGAGGAACTTATAAAATCCTTCCTGTCTGGGTAGGGTAAATGGGGGAGGGCACTAAAGGTGAGGACAAGTAGTTAAAATGGCCGGACCATCACCCGGGAAGGGGCTTGAGGCCTTTCCCTTTTGGTCCTTTGTGAGAAGAAACCAATCCTTGGGCCTGCACCTCTTTTATTTTCTCATCACCTCAGTCAGGTAGGGTCTGGTTTTCAGTCCTTCGGGGGCAGGTACACATGCAGAAGTATCTCCGTATCTAGTCAGTCCCTCCTGCTGTCCTGAGCCCATTTGAAACTTCCCATCCCCAGGCAGTTAAGGGAGGCTTCACAGTATGGGAATGGGGGTCTCCTGATTCCCAGCTCTAGTTCCAACCCCACTCTGACCCCTGCAAGCTTTCACTTCATTTCCTGGAGGCACTCACGGTATAGGATGACCTCAAAGCTGAGAGAAGCATTAGCGTTCGAGTTCTCAGCATGGAAGGTGTAGTACCCAGCTTCTGAATCTTTCAGCCGAGACAGAGTGAGGGTTGTGTTGAACCTAATGGAGGAAATGAACACAGTATAGTTCTGGGAGCCCTCAAGACCGCAGCCCTGGAACACGCTCTCTTCCCAGTAATACCGAAGGCTTTTCCCAATCCTGAGGAGCTCAGCTAGGCACACGGCCGCGTGCCCACTAATCTGCAGGGTGACTATCTCTCAGCCACTAGGGTAAAGTATTTACTAATTCTGAAGTGCCCCCCTAAGAAACACTGAGTTTGTCACAGCACAGAATGCCAGCTGGCGATAATGGCTACCATTCTTTGAGGCTTCAAAAAAACCCACTATCACAGGATTGATTATTCTTTGCTATTTAACCTAAGCCATCATGAAAGCAGGAAGCCCTGCTATAGGGGAGCCATGACTTGGGTTAGCTATGAGGCCCCCCAAAAAAGGCAATTTTGCTGAGAAAGATCACAAATTGTGACTTGGGATATCAAGTCTTGGTAAAGAGTTTCTGTTTGCTGAACTCCTTGTTCTTTTATCTTACCTTCTCATCTCTGCTTCCTGGCTTCCCTGACTTCCTTCCAATCCCAAGGAAAATTCCAGTTTTGTTTTTTTGTTTTTTTTTCTTTTTTTAGGCAATTGGGATAAGTGACTTGCCCAGGGTCACACAGCTAGTAAGTGTCAAGTGTTTGGTCTGAGGCTGGATTTGAACTCGGGTACTCCTGACTTCAGGGCCAGTGCTCTATCCACTGTGCCACCTAGCAGCCCCGAAAATTCCAGTTTTTATAGGAAGCCTTTCCCAATATCTTTTCATTTCAGTGCCTTCCCTCTGTTAATTACTTCCTATTTATCTTGGATATAGCTTGTTCAACCATCTTTGCTTGTTGTCTCTCCCATTAAATTGTGAGCTCCTCCAGGGCCAGGACTGTCTTTTGCCTTTCTTCATATTCCTACCACTCAGCACAGTGCCTTGCATATAATAGGTACTTAATAAAGGCTTATTGACTGAATAATATTAAAATTTAAGGATCTTTTAATAGATGTTATCATACAGAATACTCATAATCTCCAAACTACATGGAATAAAAAGCTTTCAAAATATAGAGACCCTTTGTTGTTGAGTCATTTTTCTGTCACGTCCAACTCTTTATGACCCTATTTGAGGTTTTCTTGGCAGAGATACTGGAGTGGTTTGCCATTTGCTTCTTCAGCTCATTTTACAGATGAGGAACTGAAGCAAATAGGGTTAAGTGACTTGCCCAGAGTCACACAGCTAGTAATGTTTGAGGCCAGATTTGAACTCAGGAAGAGAGTCTTCCTGACTTCAGGTCTGGCCAGCATTCTATCCACTGCACCTCCTAGCTACCCCATGGGAAGAAATTATAAACCTCTGGGAAAAGAATGAGATACATGTCATCCTTAGAAGTGTCAGACTTTAAGCCTTGGTCTTCTGACTCCAATTTCACTATTCTCTCTATTATACTACAACTCTTCATAGAAATAATTAATGGAGGCCTGGGTGTCCTTTTGGTGCTAAATTTTAAAGGACTTCAAAATGCTTTAAGACATTAGCAAACATTACTACTGGATGATTTCGCTGCGTGGAGGAAGATAGAAAAGCTGACAATCAAGGAACCAAATAGTTCTAGTTGGGTAATGGGAGAAGGGAACAAAGAAGAGATTTTTTAAAAGGCAGAAGTTAGTGGAGTAGGGGCAGGGGGAGAGGATTGTGTGTAGATATAGACTTCTCAGCAGA